CCAAGTTTATTATCTCAATTTCGTCCTATAAGCCTTTGCAATGTGTTATATAAAATAGCTTCAAAGGTCATAGCTAACCGTTTGAAAAGTATACTTCCAGAGATCATATCTGAGGAGCAGTCTGCTTTTGTCCCAGGTCGCCTGATTACAGATAATATTATTGCTGCTTACGAGTGCTTACACTTTATGAAAAGGAACAAAGCCCAGAAACACAGACATTGTGCATTAAAGTTGGACATGATGAAGGCATATGACAGAGTAGAGTGGAGTTATTTGAGAGCTATCATGTTGAAGTTGGGTTTCCAGAGAGGTGGGTAAACATCGTCATGAGTATGGTCACATCAATATCTTTCTCGGTCATGTTTAATGGACAACGACTTGATAAGTTTGATCCAACACGAGGTATTCGTCAGGGGGATCCTATTTCACCCTATTGGTTTTTGCTGGCAGCAGAGGGCCTTTCGTGCCTTTTGAAATCCAGAGTTCAGTCATCTAGCCTTGGTGGCATACAGGTGGCCACATCGGCACCGCCGGTGAACCATTTGTTGTTTGCTGATGATAGCCTGCTGTTTTTTAAAGCATCAATAGAGGGGCCGGAGGAAGTTTCCCACTTACTAGATATTTATGCAAATGCTTCAGGACAAAGGATCAACAATGATAAATCCTCAATTTTCTTTAGTAAAGGCTGTCCAGAAAGTGTGAGAGTAGCTGTTAAAACAATCCTTAATGTATCAAACGAGCAATTAAATGAGAAGTACTTGGGTATGCCGTCAGATGTAGGGACCTCAAAAAATGGTGCTTTCAAGTACGTAAAGGACCGTCTATGGGCAAAAATACAAGGGTGGATGGAGAAAGTTTTATCTGCAGCAGGTAAAGAGGTTCTGATTAAATCCATTGCCCAAGCAATTCCGGTCTACTCGATGGCATGTTTTAAACTCCCGAGAGGATTGTGTGAGAGCTTAACTTCAATGATCAAGGCTTTCTGGTGGGGCAATAAGAGAGGTAAGAGGAAACCCTATTGGGTGTATTGGGATACGATGAGCATGCCTAAGTACATGGGAGGTTTGGGTTTTCGGGATTTCGAGATCTTCAACTTGGCTCTCTTGGCATGGCAGGCGTGGAGAATTCTGGAGCAACCTGATTCTCTAAGTGCGAGGATATTGAAGGGAGTTTACTATCCGAACTCAATTTTTCTCAATGCTGAACTGGGAAACCACCCCTCACAAATCTGGAGGTCGGTAATAGAGGGACGTGATGTGTTGCAACAAGGTCTTATCAGGAGAATTGGCAATGGTAGCTCCACCAGTATTTGGGACATGAACTGGATCCCAAGGCCTGAAAATATGCGACCCATTGTTTCTCTTATTCAGAACCCACCACTGATGGTGGCCGAGCTACTTGATCCTTTATATGCATGCTGGGATGAGCAAATAATTCAACATATCTTTCTGTCGAATGATGCCGCAGCTATACTTCAGATTCCGGTGTGCAAACGTAACATGGATGATTTTTGGTCATGGGGTTTTGAGAAGAATGGTTTGTTCACAGTACGGTCTGCGTACAAAATGATTGTAGCTACAAAGAACGAAGAGAGGATTGGTTGGACGAGCGACTCGGCCCATCAAATATAGCTCAGAGTGAGAAATCATGGGAGATGCTTTGGCACGTTGACGTACCAGCGAAAATCAGGATCTTCTTATGGAGGCTAGCACATAATTCAATGCCCACAGAAGATGTCAGGAACAAGAGAAATATGTCGACACATGACAGATGCTATGTGTGTGGTATGATAGACTCGTGGAAGCATATTTTGATCGAATGCAGCATGGGCGATGTGTGTGGGCTCTGGTGGATCCGGAGCTACTAGAGCATATGATTGAAACAAGGGAGCCAACAACACGCGCTTGGCTTTTCTCGATGATGGAGGTGCTAAATCACGACGAGATGACACGGATGGGTGTTACGCTTTGGGTAGTCTGGTATGCGCGAAGAAAGTTTATACATGAGGGACTAAACCAGAGTCCACTGTCGACACACCTTTTTGTGACCAGATTCATAGCTGAACTTGATCAGTTACAGGAGCCATCAGCCTCACATGCGATTATGAACACTGATGCAACTAGCTCTGCGTGGGTTCTGCCGGCGGAGGGATATGCAAAAATAAATGCCGATGGGGGGTATTTCCCTAGACCACAATGTGGATGTTGCTGCTGCTATATGTCATGATCGGGAAGGTAATTTTTTGGGATCTTCTATTCTGGTTGTACGAGGAGCAAATGATCCAGCTACAACAGAAGCTTTGGCATGTCGGGAAGCTCAAGCGTTGACGAGGGATTTGAGTTTGCAGCATATTCAGGTTGCTTCAGATTGCAAGCAGGTCATATCACATATCAAGCAAGGTGTTGGAGGCAACTATGGGAGTATTATGAGAGAGGTGACTGAAACTTCGAGAGTTTTCACGGCTTGTAATTTTATGTTTGAGCCTAGATCTTCAAACTTTGAAGTTCATAGGTTAGCTAGGTATGGTATTACTCTTCCTCTGGGGAGACACATATGGTTGGGGCATCCTCATGATGCTGAAATTATCCCTGTAAACATTTTAACCATGCAATAAAGGCCTGGCTATCCTTTCTCAAAAAAGAAAAAAAAATCAGGCCGCAAGCCGAAGGGGCGCCGTTCTAGCTGTCCGGAGTTCAAGTTCGTGCATGCGTCCGTCCGGAGAAAGAAGAAGCCCGAGGAAAGAAAAAGGGAAAAAATGTTTACAGTACGGGTTTATGTGATCTGTTCCGTCCGATGCCTCGCGGCGCTGTAAATTTGTTTTAGAAGGGCATGTGTACTGGAGTGCGGCTAATCTGCACCCGGACTCATCTGCACCCACGCTTAGAAAAAAATCAAAAAAAAAATACTAGAAAAATTCAAAAATTCCAATTTTTTTTGTGGTGGTAGATAATTTGACACATGAGGTGCGCCCCAAAATTCAACTCATTTGAGCATCTGAGCAGCTCTCGGCAAAAAAGACAAAATCAGGGTCTGTAAAAATGTATACTGTTCACGCACTGTTTTGACCCGATTTGTTTTTTTTGCCGAGAGATGCTCAGATGTCCAAATGAGTTGAATTTTGGGGCGCACCTCACGCGTCAAATTATCTACCACCATAAAAAAATTTGGAATTTTTTGAATTTGTCTAGTATTTTTTTTGAATTTTTTGCTGAGAGGGAGCAGATGAGCCCGGGCACCATTTTGAATTTTCCCTGTGTACTGTTTTTTTTACACATGGTGCTTTACGGGCTCTGCTGCTAGGGATGCTCTTACCCATGCATTGTTCCCCTCAAGGAAAAAAACGCACGCATTGTTGCTTGCTGGATAAATGGTCCGGCCAGTACTTTTTTTTCTCTACTAGGGGGACCGGCCAGTACTTGGAATTCCCTAGTACGGACTGGTTGTGCCAATCGCAGCTAGGACATTTTTGCCACGAGGCCCTTTTGAATTAAAAAATAGCGAGAATATAATTTGGATACCCGTTCATGTGTCTTGCTAATCATTGTTGATTGACCAACGAAGATACAAATCTACATCTCTTTTTTCCTTATTGGTACCACTAGGTTTTCCCAGGCAAATATGTTGAGGCACAAGCATGAACGTGAACTCATGCTTACTTTTATAACGAAACTGCTTTTATAAATAGAAACATAAACATATTCTTCATTCCTTTGCGCAGTGCTTTTGCAGGAGCACAACATACCATGGAAAAGGTTGGATCGAAAGAATGCTCACATACACACATATCTATAAATGCACACCCGCACACTTTTATTTTTATGAATATCTTGAAGAGACTGAGCTGATATAATATCTTAAGATTAATGGAGTCATCACAGCCGTTTCGTACCTTCCACCGAAGGAAATCATCAAAAAGACTAAAATAATTGACAAAATATGAGCACTGATGTCAAGTTTAGTACTTGAATCTTGATGAACTAGTTGCAGTAGAAGGAACGCAACCATTTGAGATATGCTCTATTCACTATTTGTAGGCTTTCATTGGGTTTGAGAAGTCAGGAAGTGTACAAGGACTACCTTGAAACAAAACCATGTCAGTTATTTTCGAACGGATGGAATTGTATTTTACAGGATTACACTTTGTTTCCTTCACTAAACTGAATAAATGACTTTGGCATGTACTCCCTCCGTTCCTAAATATAAGTCTTTCTAGAGATTCCAACAAATGACTACATACGAAGCAAAATGAGTGAATCTATCCTCAAAAATTTATCTACATACATCCGTATGTTGTAGTTCATTTGAAATGTCTAAAAAGACTTACATTTAGGAACGGAGGGAGTAACTGTTGGACATGGCACTATAAAACTGAAATTCAAGTTCCTCAAAGTTACTGAACCACACGTTATAAAAAGAAGAGTTACTGAACCACAATTTATTCATATCTGACACTGTCTCGCTGTGGCAGTGGTAGAAAGTTTGCCGTGTTAATTTCAAGAAAAAGAAAGTTTGCCGTGTTAAAAGCGAACGGTACGGAGCTGCATCTCTCTGAAGATAGGCCTATCAGCAACCGAAATTGTTAATAAATCAAGCATGAACCACACCGTTTCCTTCCGTTTCTTGCCCCAGCAACGTGAATCATGGCACCGCAGTGCAAGCAACGGAGCAAAGTGCGGTACGTAACGTAGAGCCGTAGGTAGAATTTCCGTTCCGTTTTACAACGCGTGCAGAACCCCCGAATAAAGACCGCGTCAGGTCAGAGAGACACGCCCTGATTCGCCGCACCTTTCACGCATTCCGATGCCCATAAATGCTGCCGATTCTGTGCCATCTCCCCCCACACGCTCCACCTCCGCTTCCCATTTCCCGCCGCCTCCTTTCCTAAAAATCTACACAAAGATTCGTAGCAAAATCCTCCCCAAATCCCCCACCTCCCGTTTCTGTTCCCGTTCCCACCCCAATCCCCTCCAAGAAACCCTCGCCCCCCTCGCCTCGCCGCCATGGGCAGCGCCGCCTCGCCGCCGCGGGCCCTCGACGCGGCGACGCAGGAGGACCTCAAGCGCGTCTCCGCGCACCGCGCCGTCGACATGGTGGAGTCCGGCATGACGCTGGGGCTCGGCACCGGCTCCACGGCCGCGCACGCGCTCGACCGCCTCGGGGACCTCCTCCGCACCGGCGCGCTGCGCGCGGTCGCCGGGGTGCCCACCTCCCTCAAGACGGAGGCGCACGCCGCGCGCGTCGGGATCCCCATGCTCGCGCTCGCAGACGCCGCGGAGATCCACCTCTCCATCGACGGCGCCGACGAGGTCGACCCGGACCTCAACCTCGTCAAGGGCCGCGGCGGCTCGCTCCTCCGCGAGAAGATGATCGAGGGCGCCGGCGCCCGCTTCGTCGTCATCGTCGACGAGTCCAAGCTCGTCCCCCGCCTCGGCTGCACGGGCGCCGTTCCCGTCGAGGTCGTCCCCTTCGGCAGCGCCTACACGCTCGGCCTCATCCGCAAGGTGTTCGACAAATTGCCGGGCTTCCACGCCAGGCTCAGGACCGTCAAGTCCAAGGCCGGCGACGGCCAGGAGGAGCTCTTTCTCACCGACAACGGCAACCATATCGTCGAGATGTTCTTCGAGGACGGCATACACGGCAACCTGCGCGACATCAGCGACAGCCTGCTGCGCATCACGGGCGTCGTCGAGCACGGCATGTTCCTCGGCATGGCCACCAAGGTGATTGTCGCCAAGAAGGACGGCACCGTGGCGGTCCTCAGCAAGAAGGTAGCCTAGCCGCCTGGGGAAGAGTCTGCAGAGGAGATGACAATAAGCCAAGATTGAAGCTCTTCTTGCTCCTGCGGTGAACTTGCTCTACGTTACTGTTACAGCGTTTCCTCCTATTCATGGGTAATGCGATGGTGCCCAGATTAATGTGGTGAAGCTAATAAGTTTTGGACTTCGCTCCATAAAATGTTATCAAGTCAGTTTTGTTCATTGCTCGTCTCCCAATTTTGACTCCTTGTTTAGCTTGTGTTTTGTGTTCACCAATCCATGACAGGAAATGCATTGGCTACGGTCCAGTAGGGTCCAAATCAATGCACCGGTGTCTCAACTAGGCATGGATAGAATGTGCATGGCAGTTTTTTTTTTAAAGTTTTAATGGTCCGATTCAATGCACCGGATTTTAGATATCCGTCTGTATGGAGACACTTCCTTTTGCCCCTTTTTTCTTCGTTTCTCCCATCCAAATGCGCCACTCTTTTCGGCATTTATTCGCATGGACAATAGTGTTTCGCTTTTAACACAAGCAGAGAAAAAAGAAACTTAGTGCAAACAAAGCACCTCCAAGAACATCTTGAGAACCCAAAAAAAACCATCTCGAGAATGTACCGTAAAAGCTACTACCCCGTCCCATAATGTAAGACGTTTTTTGACACTAGTGCAAATGTCAAAAAACGTCTTATATTATGGGACAGAGGTATATTATGGGACAGAGGGAGTAGTGGATACTGAAATTGGAACATTTTACTTATGCTGACATCCGAGATTTTTCTCCTAGGCAAATGATTCTGAAACGAAAATCACAGAAGTAACCCATGGTTCTTATTGGCTTCTTCAAAAGTTAAAAAATTGCAAGTGTTGGTTGCATTATAAGTACTTGGAACACAAAAACTTCAGTGAAAAATATATTGAGTTTTATTAAAACCTCTCCGACACGAAACTTCTTACCAAAAGATTTGTAGTAAAGAGTAAAAGCTCCGGCATTTCTATCTTTCATACAACCTCCTCCAGACCGTCCTAGCATAAAAACGTTTGAACTATTTTACAGCTTCTGTTTAAAATGATCATTTTTTTTGCCGAACTGTCTAAAATTGTTTCACTGGGTTTTATTATAATTAGGTTTGTTTAGACAACAATGAAAAAGGAAAGAGGCACATAACAGTGTAGCAGCAAAAGATAGAGGCGTTAATTTTTCAAGGTAGAAGACCATGGAGTGGAAACATCGCAAACGTCATACTATGACTTTGTTTTAGAGAATATTTGATCTGCGGCAATTATAAAGATCATATTAAATGGTTTGTTTGCCAAGTTTGCAAGTCCCAAGTTTCAGAAGGATGCCACACGTACAACACTACACATACGATTTCTGTACGACACTGAAGATCGAATCATTCACACCCAGAAGCAAAATGCAGCAGGCCGGATAAAAAAGCACCGTATGTGTAGCAATAGCAATTACTCCCTCTGTAAATTAATATACGTATTTTAGATCACTATGTTTTATAAGTAGTATTATTAGTTTAGAGAGGTAGTACGTTTCAACCAAGCTCGGAGTAGCGTCAATGCGTCATTCTGCAGTGGCGTTTGGTTGCAATCTTGAAGCACGCTGCGTTGCAGACATGGCATTCCAGAGAACTTCACAAAGTGAAACCGTTGTTAGCCCAATTCTTGCTATGAAATGTTTGTATATTGATGACAAAAAAATTTATCCATGTCAGGATCTTTTTTTTTTTTGCAAATACGCAAAGCTTGTGTATCATTTCATTGATAGAAAGAAGAAAGAGTACAATAAAAGATACAACGCATACCATGAACGCAAGAAGGCATAAGCATGGTGTCCGAAGCATAGAGAGACCGGGTGCTTAGCCCGAACAAGGGGAGGACACAACTAAACCCACCGAACCTAAAACTAGAGGAGCAGACCAACTCAGCAGGACGTCAAACATCTTCAATTCCAACACTGGGACACCACGAGCTAGCAAGATATCGCCTTCAAGAAAGGGAACGATGCCGTGACGTCGTCGCCATCCGATCCGGAGAACTGGACCTAGGGTTTCCCCTGATACTCGAAGGGGTGCACGGACAAAGGCCATGATAGCGCCTCCAGGAAGGGAAACGACACCCGGGTGTCGCCACTGCCAGCATCGGCAAGCCGAGCATGGATTTCGCCTGGCCTAGTTTGAGCAATCTCTAAGCCGCCGGATCAGGATCCAAAGATGCTGGAGACAACCTACTTGTCAACCGCTACCTCAGATGGGGGTGGGGCTGCACATGTCACCGACGAAAACGCGAGCTTTGAAACCAACATGGCGTGTAGGTGGACGGGGTCGGAGAGGCAACAGGGTAGAGAGCCTATGCGGATGGAAGGATGGCGGTCGACGCCGTCGGCAAACCGGAGCCGGAAGGGAACGCAGATCCGTACTGCTGGATGCGGAGCCACCAGAACGCTAGCGAACTGGAGCTGGAAGAGGCGCAGCTGCCGGGGCCGGGGCCGAAACCACGCTGGTAGAGGACGCCGGCAGACCAAGAACACTGGAGAGCAGGTCCACGGGGCCGGGACCGGAGCGGTGTCGACAAAATCCACCACGGAGCTTCTAACATCCTGCCAGACGACCACCGTCACCACACACACAGAGGTCGTTGCAGTAGCTCGAAGGAGGCACCGTCGGGGACCAAGGATGGTCTGCACCTAGGCAGGACCGAGCCCCGGCCACCTCCCCCAAGGGTCACGCCCGCCCCGACGGACGACAGCAAGAAGAGGGGCTGCACCACGGGGGGCAAGACGCGGACTTGGGGAGGATCAACACGGACGCGGCTGCCCTGTCGAGCAGGACCAGCGGGATGCGTGCAATAGTTGGATGGGGGGAGTGGCCGCGGCACGCCAG